TCAAGTGGCAAGTTTTCAATGGGGTAATTCAGCTGAAACAGCATTACAATTTCATACAGGATTACATTTTCATGTAGAAGAACAAAACTGACTACCCAGGGCCCAGTGCACTCTCTCTGCTGGGTTTCAGCCTTGGGAACAGAGCAGGAGCAGAACAGCAAAGCTACAAAAATAAAAATGCTGAAAACAGTGAAAACCTAAACAGAGGGAGCGTTCCTTGCTGCTGTTATAAAAGTGGGTGCCACTTACTGCGACTCAGTTCTGTATTTTTTGGAGCACAGAATCAGCCTTTTATGAACATTTCACGCTCCTTTATTGGCATCATACAATGATGCCATTTTTCATGTTTAGTCACAGTGCTGAAGAGCACTATTTCTTGCAACACAGCATCACAAATATTACTGTGATTAATAACAGCAAGCAACATGTGCCTTTCCTTAGAGCTCCTCTAAAGGCACAGTCTCTTCATCTGATTTTGGCTCGTTTAACTCCAATGTTTCAAATATTTTAACTTAGAAGAAATTGTAGTTAATTTTTAAAGTTTAAAAAGCAGGCTTTAATTCCCTGCACACCCATCCCACACTCCACTTACACTATGCACAGAAAGCAGCTCCATGTAGCTGGTACTAGTACAAAGTTTCAGATAAATGCAGTAGGTTCAAGAAGTAAGGATTCATCAAGAAACTATGAATCCAGTTTCCCTTAGTAATCTGGTTCAGAGCACTAAATTATTAAATAACAATAATTATGTCAGCTGTTGCTTTGGTTATTACCTAGTCAACAAACCTGGATGCAGGTTTTAGTCACCACTCTAGCATTTGCCCTTTCAATTTTTACATGCACAACATCAATAAAAGCCAACTCTCTCGGCTACAAACAGAAAGTTCAGCATCAATAAATTTTATTTATCTTTCCAAAACTGTGGCAATGCAGATCTATTCTAGAATTGTCAGCTAGACTAATTTTATGGCTCAAATGTTACAGTATCTCCTGTTTGAGGCTTTACACTTTTGATCTTCCTTTACAAATTTATTTTTCTTTTCCAATTCGAGAAGTTGTAACAAAGATCATTCTTCTAATCCACAGCTTTGATCAGGTTGCTACCTCATTTTTTCCACAGGCTCATACCTTTTCAACACATTATATAGGTCCTGAAAAACTCAGTGCTTGTCTTAACCTCATGCCATAGAAGTATTTACTTTGGCTTCTATGCCACCAACTATTAGACATGAAGGCCAGCCCCCTTGTGCTTTCCCTACACTAGCTAACACTCTGAAGGTATTCAGTCAACACTGTAAAGTGACTTCCTTTTTCTTTTAGATGCCCTTTTGGAATTTTTCTTGGCTTTATGACACCCATACAACCTCACCTGTCAGGAAGTCAGCACCTGAAACTGCTGCTCCTTGTTTACTCTCTTTATCTCACTCTTTGGCCAGAAACAGAGAAAGCAGGGCACATTTTGACAGTGTTGGTACAATACCCAGCACAATGGCATTTCAGTCAACAACCAAAATGCCAAAATAAATAAATTACAATTAAGGATGAAGTGTGCCAGGACACCTGCAGGTAAGCTAGGAGAGCTCACACAACTAGTATTAGGTGAGGCAATAACACAGAGTTTCATCAAGAAGAGAAGCAGACAGTAATAGAGTGAGGAGACTATTCACTTCGGCATTCTTTAATCTGTCAGATTCGGGTACCCTTCCGAGATCTTATGACCTGAAAAGTCAAAGTCTGTGATGCCCACTTTCCCCCAGAAGGATGAGTAATTCAATCTGCACAAGTCTACTGACTTGGCAGTGTTAGTTACTTAGCTAATGAGAAATATTTCTACCGATACTATCCTGCCTGCCTTACCGATTTCATTTGTGTTACTATTTTTGACTAGTGGTGTTTTTTTGGGGGGTGTGTTCATTGCAGG